CCTGCCCCCCACACCCCCCTGCCCCACTCACCATCTGGAAGATGAAGGTGACGGTGCCGAAGATCCGCACCGTCTTGTTGAAGCGCAGCTCCAGGTACTGCGGGGGAGACGGGTCAGGGCACTGTCCCGCAGGGATGCGGGGTCCTGAGCAGGGGGGACATCCCCCACGTCCCCCGTGTCTCCCCCACGGCAGCGGGGGAGGGGAGGGGGGCAGGCAGCCCTGTCCCAGCACCTCGGCTCCTGCTGCCGCAGACACAACAGGGCCGGCCAGCGCCGCCCAGGGCAGGCGAGGGGGCCCCGGGGCCGGGCAAGGCGGGGGGGGGGGGGCCCGCCCCGGGGGGAGGTGGGGCACGGCAGGCTGGGCACCAGGAGAGGGGCACAGGGCAGCGAGGGACCGGGAGCCAAAACCCCAGGCGGGCGCCCTCAGCTCGTCCCCCGAGGCCACGCACCTGCCTGCACGTCCCGCCGGGCGCTGGGCTCCACGCGTGCCCCCCTCCGTCCCCACGGGGATGAGCCCGCTCACCTCGTAGGTGCTGGTGATGCGCAGGCGGTAGAAGACGGGGATGAAGACGTGGGCCGGGATGAGCAGCCCCAGGAAGTAGGAGCAGCCAAGGAACCAGTACTCGGTGCCAAAGCGATAGATCTCGGCCGGCACGCCCAGGATGGCCACGGCCGACTGGAAGGTAGCCAGCAGGGAGAGGGCCACAGGCAGGAACCCCATGTTGCGGTTGGCCAGGAGGAATTCCTGTACCGTGCGCTGCCGGTCCCCGCTGAGCGCATAGAAGAGCCCGATGGCTGACGACAGCACCAGCAGCAGCGCGAAGATGCTGTAGTCGATCACCGTGAACTCCATGGCGAGTGTCTCCTGTTGCTGCTGCCCTGCTGGCACCGCTGCTGCCCAGCTGCCCACCCCGGCTGCGCCCCGCTGGCCTCATGGGCACGCCGAGCCCCGGCAGCCGCCCCGGCAGCAGGTCCTGGCCGGCATCTTCCCGGCACTCAGAGCTGCAGCAGGAGGGACGGGTGTCAGTGCTGGGCGGGTGACGCCGAGAGCTGCACCTGACACTGCAGGGACCTTCGCTCGCTCTGCCGCCGTCTCAGCCTCAAGGACCCGGCGCAGGGGGGCCAGGCTGGATGAGGAACGTCCCCTCAACCCTCCTCCTCCTTCTGGGCTGGGCTCGGCGCTGCGGCGCCCACCCCCTGGGCTGCTCAACCTGCCCCCGCCAAGGGAAACGGAAGCCTCTTCCAAAGAGCACAGAGGCCACGGTTGCAAAAACAGTCCCACCCAGGACCCCGGCAGCACCAGCCCTGCCAGCCCCACTCAGCTCTGCCAAGCCCGGCAGAACCAGCCCTGCGTGTCGAAACCCAACACAACCGCCCCCGGTGCAGGACAGCCCCGCCAAGCCCGGCAGCACCGATCCTGCCGCAGCCAAACACAACACAACCCACCCACCCCGGCACCGCGCACCCCACCAAGCCCAGCAGAGCCGCCCGGGGTGCGAGAGCCCAGCCAAGCCTCGCACAACTGCCTCGGCCCTGGCGCCAGCCAGCTGTCCCGGTGCTGGCACAGCTCTGCTGGTGCTGGAGCGGCCGCCTCCACACCGGCCCACCCTGCAGGATCGGCCCCGCTGGCAGCCCCTGACCCCGCAGGACCCACGGACGGGGCTGGGGAGGGCAGACGGACGGGCAGCAGAGCCCAGTCTGCACCGGCGAGGAGATGCAGGAGGAGCGCCCAGGCCCAGCTGAGCAAAGGTTGGGCAGGGTGACCCCCAACACGTGCCCCATGCAGCCAGGGATAGACAGATGGACGGAGCAGGACTGACAGCCGCAGAGGTTCTGGGCAGCAGCCAGATGGAGCAGACGCCCGAGCCACTGCTGGC